CAGGGACAGAAGTGTTCCTCTCTCTGAAACTTACTTTTGCTTTGCAATAAAAGCTGCTTGTGTGGAAGTGTTAAGTGACTGTCATCCCTCTGTAGCACTGGCCCTGCTTGTGATTCTTCCAAGCAAGCAGCCAAAGAACCAGCACATCACCTGTCAAAAAGCACACCTGAAAAGATGAGGTTATACAGAAATAGGGTGGGTCCCTAATCCAGTATGACTGGTGTCATTATAATAGGGGGAATGTGGACACAAACACACACAGGGGAGCGCTATGTGAAGATGAAGGCAGAGTTCTAGAAGACAAGAAATGCTAAAGACTGCCAGCAAACCACCAGAAGCTAGAAGAGAGGCATGGAATAGACCCTCACAAGCCTCAGAAAGAACCAACCCTGCTGACAACTTGACCTCAGACTTCCAGCCTCCAGAACCGTGAGAGAATCAATTTCTGTTGTGGAAGCCAGTCAGTCTGGAGTACTTTGTCATGGCAGCCTTAGCAGACCAACGCTCTTTCCCTCCTAAAGTTTCCCTGGAAGGCTGCCCAGCTAGTATCAGGCTCTCTCCTCTGGTGAGATGTTCCCCATGCAGGTGCTGGTACTGCTGACTTCCAAGGTCAAGTCTGGGGTGGCATGGTCTTCCTCAGCCTTCAGCTTCTGTACCTCAAGCCCAGGGACTTCTTGGCAGCTTCAGCTCCTCTCCCCACTTCTGAATAAGGAAGAGAGCTCCTTCCACTTTCCCTTCCTCTCTGTCCTTCCCCATCTACCCGAGCCCTCCTTTTCTTTACTTCTCTCCTCCGTGTTCCCACAAAGCAACTGTGTGGGCTTTGGTGAGGCTGCCCAAGGGAACATTCCCAGTTCCCCTTTTCCTTCTCCCCAAAGCACCCTCGCCCCAGTGTACAATGAAGCTACCTTCCTAGGTCCCACTCTGGGTAAAAGTCGTCTTCTACTTCCTGTTTCTCCTGGACCACCCTCTCCCAGATGGCTCTCCCTCACTCCCAACGCTGATGGAATGTTTAATTATTTATTGAAAAACTATTAATTAGCTACTCATGAAGCACTGTGCCAGCAGCTTCAGGGGTGTGTGAGATGAAAAGCACCTACATCTCAAGAAAACGGAAACTTGGTAATAATTTAAGGGTGATGGATAAGTCTCTCCTTGGGCTGACTCCAATTGGCTTGTGTGGGCTTCCTGGAGAAGGCCAAGACTTCCAAAGCATCTTGGTTCAGAGGGAGAGGACGGTGGTAGATGAGTGAGGCCAGGATGGGAAGACCCGGTGTTTGCCATCACCAGAGACTCAGATCTGGTTGCAAACTCTGGCTCTGCGTACTGCTAAGTGAGCTTAGGCAAGTCTTAACTCCTGCGACCTCTCGGGCAGTTTAACCTGAGTGTCTGGATAATTCAGTATCTAAACAAGTAAATGATACCAGTAAAACCAGTGGCCCTGGTACATATGGGTATTTTATGTTAACTGAGTTTAAATCTGGATATAGTGGGCACGGGGACCACCTCAGAAGAGAGCTGAAACAATTACAGTGCAAGGCAGGTATCGATTGTAAGAGCCGGAAATACAGAGAGCCATGGGAATGCAGAGACAACTTCCCAGTGAGACGATTTCACTGGTCTTGAGAGATGGGGGCTGTTGGAGAGCAGAGGCAATGCGAAGTCTGAGAATGGACACAGAGAAGAGCGTGGGGCATATTCCTGGGCTTATGACCACGGGAGAGAAGCCGGGAAGAAAGGCTGGCGGAAGAGCATGGAGAGCCTTGAATTCCTGGCTGAAACATTGGGATTGTAATAAAAACACAGAAATCTTTATAGCAAAGTCAGGTTTTGCAGCGCATTTGTACAATGTTGTTTGCATTTAAGAAAGACAACAATTAGAAGCAAATTTTAGACTGTATAATTCTATGCCAAGCAGTAGCCTCTTCCTCCTTCCTACTTGACAAGGCTAATTGGCCATGGAGAAACTTACCCATGAGGCATATGGGCGAGGTGGTCCTGACAGCTTCCTGTTAACACATTGTGGGAGACACTACTACGGAACTGAGATTCCAGGAGCTAATCTGCCCAGGGTCACACAGCATAGAGAGTAGAGTCAGGGCTGACACCGGGATGCGAACCAAGTTTCAGCCTGGACACCAAGCACCTGATACTACTTTGCTACGAAAAGCTGGGCGGTGAGAGAAATTAGCTAGACTCGTAACACGGGGGCCTGGTGATTGCTTCTAACTCAAAATTTTACACACTAAAAAAAAGCTAAATGACAGCAAACACATTTGGAAAAAAAGACTTCTTTGTTTTGTGACCCATTAGCGTTCCTTGGTGTCTCGAAATAAAATAATGGCAACTGCCTGAGTGAAGTGTGGGTCTGTTTGTCACTGATTATTGACACATTCCTGGCCACACAGTGTCCTCCTGGCTTTAAAAGAATTCTTTTTCACTACAGGTTACTGTTCACCCTTCTGTTTTCTTTCAGGAGATGTTTTTTTTGCAGGTGTGGAAGGTGTGGATGTCACATCAATAAAGGTAGTCAAGACTGAGGGTGTCTGGGTGCCTAACTCATTCCTTACGTAATTACGTGGTTTGGGGGTGGTTCTGTGTTTCAGGCTGAGAACCCTCAGCCTCTATCACTTCCAGCTGTCTGGACGGTACTGCTTGGTCACGCAGAATGCTTCTCCCACATGACAGTACCCGACTAATAGGCAGAAAGCACCTTCCTTCAAGCAACTGATGAAACTGAACTCTGTTCCAGAAGCAAGTAAAGAATAAGGATTGAGGTGGAGCACGAATATCTCACTTTGCAATACCTCTCTTCAAAACCCAAGCCAACCTCCGCCAACCACTTTCTTGGGATTCCCGAGGTCAGCTTTGTCAACCACTTTTTCCATTTTAATTTTTAGATAATCTCATTTAGGAGGAAATATGCCAGTTGTATTAGATTAGACCATAAAATTGCTGTTATTTGACCATTATTTGGCTAACAAAAATGGTCATGTCACATGAATCTACCTAATGATAATCATGGCTATGTGTAAAATTTTCAAAATGTCTTCTGCATCTATTTTTGAATTTAAATAGAGACCTCGGATTTTAAGAATGAAATGAGAAAATACAGCACATATGAAAGTTCCTAATAAATGTTGGTCGAATCTTCAAGTCTATAAATCCTGGTGTGATTGGATAGCCCTGCATGTATGTTATGGAAAGTGGGTACAACACTTTCTAAAGTTAAGGTGAATACACTTCAATACTTTAAAGTTAAATTTTTCTAAGCTTGAAATAATCAAAAAACCCATTGGATTTATATATTTACATTTTTATTAGAATTCTTCAGAACTGTCAACAATTTGGACAACATATCAGGAATAAAACATGAAACACCAACATCCTTTAAACTTATACCGCTTACATATTTACACATAAAGTTACTGTATATATAAAAAATATTTTCGAGGACTCATGGGCTTGGGAATATTCAAAAGACATTATTGCTACATTTCAATATTTACAAAAAAAGCCACAAAATAATTTCAAACATTAAGCCACTGCAAAGAAACATCTGATGTAAGAAAAAATTATAAAAATATAAACTTTCAAGAATATTCAAGACGAAACTCTCAATGAAGTGCCCCTGGAGTACCTAGACATCTACAATAAACAACTTTACTATAATCAAAGTCAACAGAAACGCAAAGGAATTGTACAGACAAAGTATGGCAAACAGCAATAATTTCTTAGATGACAACACAACCCCAAAACCTGTTAACTTTGGAAAGGCGTGAGAGCATAGAACTTCAGTGCAAATGGTTACTTCCAGATAATGGCCACAGTTTCTAAATGTAGTCTAAGGGACATAGGAGGGGGAAACCGTGAAGGCAACATACCTGAATCTTGCAAGACAACACACGAACCTTGCCATGTATACATTTACCTTGTATACTGGGCAGTGAGGAGGGGGAAAAACAGGTAGACTACAAGAATAATATCTAGGCTACAGTCTAAAGGGTTAAAATTTAAGTATGTTTCAGTGGGACAGTAGCATTATATAAGATCTAAGGAAAGGGTACAGTATGTCGAGTCTAAACAACAGAGCGTCTTAAGTGCAGGTTGGCTGCAAATAGGTACTGAAGCCTTCTGCTTCGTGTGCGTTTCTATGGAAGCTTTTGGTGAGCTACTCTAGAAAGCCGCGTGAAGGGAAACAAGAGCAGTACTGATGATGAAAGCCAAGTGATTTCTTGGGTACTGAAGGACCCTCTTGGACTTGGGGCAAGAATACCCCCCTAAAATATTTGTCTACACGCATACACACACACACACACACACACACACACACACACACACACACACACACTTCTATAGATACTGGCCTGGTGTCCAGGACATGCCTGTGAAGGAGGCTGAATCTACATTTTTATCTCCTGCTACATAAGAATCCGAGCCAAGACAGCACTGTCTTCTCATTCCCAGGGAGTCACGCAGTAAAATCAGGAACTTTCTCAGATGGCATCAAATCCATTGAGTGCAATGCCATTCCGAAGCTCATAGGCTCGTTCTGGAGAATCTACAGAGCAAGTTCATCGGCTAAAAGAGGAGATTTTGTTAAGACTGTGCTTGGCTGTTACGTTTTTTTTCCTTAAAAAAAAGTATTATCTGTTTCCTTCAAACTTATATGGCTCGTAATCTATTCCTACACACAGTGGACATAATGCTAGGGTTGCACACAGAAACTAAACCTCGTGGGGTTCCCCCCTCAAATGTACGAACCCGGACAATGTGTGGATGAGTATATACAAATGCTGGCTGGGGAGGCCTTCGCTCCAATTCAACTCCCTAAGAGCAAACTCTGTGCAAAAACGAGGTCAGCAGTCCAAAAACTCATGCAGTGGTCTGCAGCAGAGTATCTTTACTCATGCTTAGGGAACATTATTTCATGCCCTGTGTCTCATTCCCAGCATGAAATACTAGATTTCTTAAGCCTAGATGTTCACACTTCTGTCCTGTGTTCTAATCATGTTCTGTTTTCCATATAAAGGGTTTAGGTTTTAGCTTCCAATCTTGCTGCACCATCATATCATCATGGGTGGTTCTGAAGGCCAAATGTGACTACTACCACTTATTCACCTAAACTATCAACCATACTCTTTGAACAGAAATTGGAAAACCCTTGGAAAGAACTCCGGACATCTAGCCCAACCCTCCCTCTCTTTTCTCCAAAACAGAATTTTTTTTTTCTGTTTACAGTAGGAGCTACTTTGCTATTGGGAGTATATACAGTTCGAACCTTTGCAAGGGGATGGTGGCTGACGACAAAAACCATCGGCCACTAAAGTGTGCTTAGAAAGACAGGATTACAGCGGGCTGCCCACTACCCTGGAGTAGGATGCAAGTCGAAGGAAAACAAAAGAACCATCGTGGAAGCCAAAAGAATGGAGGGTCATTCCTGTGCGGGGGGGCCCCGGACACTCGCTCTGCTCAGACGTCTTCCTGCACGAGCAGTGGCTGGGAGGAGGAGGCGGTGCTGCCGACAGAATTGATCCGCACAGAATGGGCCACCACCGGGTTCTCTGGGTTGGGGCTGCAGTTTGCTAAGTTGGAGTAAATCTGAGAACAAGAAGTCCGCAGTCAGTACACCAGTCCCTACATGAACACAGCAACCAAGCGCACACTCACCAATCAAAATCACAAATCACTGATGAAGACTCTTAAAAGAGAGAGGTGTTTTACAAGAACTCTGTGGCCCAAACCCAAGTCGTGTTGACAAGACAAACATAAGCCCCCATTTTTCCCAAGAAAATCGCTTTACACAAGAAGTGGTGGCAAAACACGTGCAAGCCTGGCTCGTCTGCTGGGACCCGTCTAGGAACAAGCACGATCTAACCTGCTAAAAAGGGCTTATAAATCACTAGAGCCAACGACAACCCAACAGCCCATGTCATTTGCTGAGAAGCCCATGGCCCCTTTCAGGGGTGTCCTGTCAAGAATCAAAGCAACTGGGTGGAAAGTGCCATTTAAGTTGAAATATGCTTTGACACCCAGAAAAACGAGCTTTAACCCAAAAATATCAGTGGCGTGCTATTGGAAAAGATAGCTCCAAGCACACAGCCCAGAAGAAAAAAAAAGCAGCTTAAAAAAATCTGAGTCAAAGTAAGGATCACTAATTCTTCCTTAAAAGCAGGAGAGGAAATAATGGATTTGAGGTTTCCTTCCCCCATCCCCAAATCACGGGGAGGGATCTTCCAACTTCAAACAACTCCTCATTCTACGTGGCTTGCGGGCATGACAGCTATCTGCCATTTCCCCGCTATGCTCGTTTGATCAGAAGGCTTATTTCACTGCAGTAACAAGCTGTCTTTTCTATGCTTTTCTTCTAGTTCACATCACCCCAACCCTCCAGAGGATGAATGGCCCTGCCATGTGAGAGAGAGAACACACCAACCCCATGACCAGGATTTGGGGTGGGAAGGAAACACGGCAAATCCTTATGGAAACTTCTACTTCCACACTTCTGAGTACAAAGCCCTCCAGCCCTTCCCCCTCTTCTTCTCACATCCTTCTTTGGCTCAGAACAGGGGGGTTGGGCAGAAAGAACTGTTTTCCATTGCTTTACTTCCCCCTACCTGAAGCTGCATTTACAACCTAAGCCCAGGGGAGAAGGGGTGGGGAGGTTAGTCCTCACCCCTGAAACCTGCGAAGGAGGAACAGACAGAAAGGCGATTCTCTGCCTGGCCAGAGTGTACTCACGTGATTGGTGCTATCCGAAATCTGCTTCTCAATTAGCTGAACAATCTGCTTGAATGTTGGCCTTTTTAGAGGATCAGCGTCCCAGCAAGTCTTCATTATGTCATACCTGCAAAACGAGGGCCATTTAGTGTCCCTCCTCAATGCCTTCAGATGTATATGCCATGCAACAACTTGCACAGTAATTCCAGGGCTATGCAATGACATGTGCATAACATAAAATACTGCATGTATGAAATGTTGCTGAAACTTTGTTTTTGGTGACAAGAGTTTATGAAAATAAATGACAGAAATAAAAAGGAACCGAGTCACATTTCAAACTGTGCTGGTGAAAACCCTCAACATCTGGGTTTCTGTCTTTAAAAATAAAAATAAAAGGGGAAACGTGATCTGGAGGAAAAACTTCTGGGCCCTCACATTTCAGCAGGTGCGTGCTCGGGGCTGAGCATTCGGAAGCCTTCCTTGATCATCTTGTAGAACTTAGAATCCACCGGCATTCCAGGGTAAGGGCTGCTTCCTGCGGCACAGACAGTTTGCAAATCGAGTGTTAATCACAGCCAAGCAGGACACTAATAAAGAAATAAAACCTCAAGAAGATGCTTAAAGTCTAACAAAGGTGTCTCTGGCAAGGATCGTTTTACCTAAAGAAAACAGCTCCCACAGAAAAATCCCATAGGACCAGACATCACTTTCGAATGTGTACACGCAGTTGAAGATGCTTTCGGGTGCCATCCACTTCACGGGCAGTCGAGCCTGCGATGGAAGCACAACAGAGTCAAAATATGACTTAAGAAGCTAAAAAACCCTGACTATTGAAGATTCTTACAGATGTTACTCCTGCTGCAAGGCGGGGTGAGAGCCTGAGCACCATCTCGCAGAGGCCTGTTACCTGTGGGATCTCAGAGGATCCCAGCCACCTCTGACCTGGGCGGCTCATGATGACATTATTCCCATTTTAAAGATGTGGACACTGAGTCAGTTTAGCCTGGTTACTAAGAGTGCAGACGTCAGAGACAGCCGGACACGGGTTTGAACCCCGGCTCCACCACTGGCTCTGAGTGATGCAGAGATTTGTTAGATGCCATTGCTGCGTTACGTTTCCTCTTTCTTCCTTAATAACGGAAACATGGCCTCCCGCATTCAGGACTACATTTCCCAGTCTCCTTTGCAGCTAGCTGTAGTCATGTGACTCAGTTCTGGCCACTAATCTGTAAACCCTGTATGGCAGCTTTAGGAAAACCTCCTTAAAATATAGCTGGCACATGCCCTCTGCCCTGTTTCCTCTAGTGTCCTTGCCTCCTGCCTTCCGGATGGGACGGCTGGCTGTCCTCGTGGTGGTCATCTTGGACCGTGAAGATGATCCAAGAAAGAATTGGTCCTGAGCACTTCATGGAACCTCTATACCAACCCTGGCCTGCTATCCCCATAGTTCTTTTACTTCTATTTTGCGTTTTCTGTCATATGCAACCAAAACTATGCCTCACTTATATATTGGGAAACTTACTTAAATATTGGTCATTAAGCCTCCATATCTTCTCCTCTAAAACAAAATTAACACTCCCAATTTCATGTTGTATGGGTTAAATGAGATAATGTGGGTTAAAATGCTCAGCACTGCCTGACTCACTAATAACTGAACAATCCCCTGGCGTAAAAGCTAGTGCTCTATCAATAACGGTGGCTTATGAAGACCGTGACCATTCCGAGGCGGTGCAGGGGCAGGTTCAGAGCTGGACTTCAACAGCTGAACTGCACGGCCTCGACTCTTCCCACTAAAATTGAGCGAGACTTTCTGTGACTATTTCTCTTGGATATATTCTGGATCCCTGGATCTTATAATCTACCATAAAAAGCTAAATCCATCCTCCTCTTAATCCATTTAGGATTGCAAACTGGGAAAACAGATTTTTTCTGGTCTTAAAGTTATTTTAGTCAATTTTTTTTTTCTAAAAAAGGCTTCCAATATCCTTTCCCAGATATCATGCTAAAGCTGCGACAGGGGCGCTCAACCTGCGATCTACGGCTGTCCTGCATTCAGGGGCCTGTGAACTTCAAAGGGAAAAAATGACATCCTTATTTTCACTAACTTCTAAATGAAGTCTAGCATTTCCTTCAGTTACAAATGAAGGTGGTAATAAACCCCAGTAGTATCAGCAGTACCTGTAACTTTGTCACCCACTGTAATCACAGGTATCTTCACATCCTGTTACAGTGTTTACAAGGGTCTCAATATTGACATTCGCCACCACTTTGAAAATACAGTAGTTTTTAGAACCACAGCTAGAGCCTGTGACTCTAGGTCATAAATACGTGTGCCAACATATCACAAATTTACTTAATATTTTGATAACTACTTCCATTTAACTGCTTTTCTTGTTGATTCTACGTATTTTATTTTAGGCATTGAAGACAGTATTCCGACAAGGGCTCCCCAGGCTTCACCGGACTGAAAGGGGTCACGGCATAAAATAAGAATTCAAATGAAATGGGAGAACGTGCAGAACACCTGACACAACGCAGATTTCTCAAATCACTACACTGTAAATTTGGGGGCACAACTTGTGAGTTTCCTTGTTTTTAACTCGTCCCATAAATTCTTCTTACCCACCAGCCTGGTGAAAGTGATGCCTGTGATTGGTTAGTTCGACAGACTTGAGCTGGAGTCTAGGATCTGGAAGCCTGGTGGGACCTAACCTCTCCTGTCAATTCCGACTAAGGTCGCAAACCAATGACAAGCGAGTAGGAAGCTGTGGCATAACCAACGTCACCATTATTTCGATTTCAAATAAAACACCTATAAAGAATAGTAAGAATGTGCCTGGCACAGTCTAAGCACCTTACATATTGAATTCATTTAATTCTCACGATGACTTTACGAGGCAGGCGTCGCTGTTATTCCCAAGTGGAGAAAATTATCCAACGCCAAGACTCAGGTGTTGGATAATTCCTGACAGCATCACACAGCCGCTAAATAATCTAAATAATGGAGCCAGATTAGAACTCATCAAGACCAGGCTTAAAGTCTGCTACCTTCTTCCTCCTGCCCTTTTGTCAATATTTAGAGACCTGGATAATGAACCACTTGTCATTCTTCCTTCCAAAATTGCACAGGGATGGAGAGAAGTTGTTTTGGTCAACATTCCTGATGATGCTGCTATCTAGCCTCGGGGGTGTCTTTCCAGAAATGCATGCTTTGGTCAGGAGATAAACCCGGCGACACATCTACACAACCAAGTGGAGTAAAGCCCACCCCTCCAGATGCCATGGTGAGGAAGGAGAAAATATTAGCTTATCAGAAGGGACACAAAAATCTACCTCCGGGAAGAAATCTGGACTGTGGAAATGGACCTAGGAAAAGAGGCAGAGAAGAATATACAGGAGGACATGGTTTTCCATACCAGTGGGATGCTGCTCTAGAAATCATGGGCTTTGGTTTCAGCCTCTACTGACCTGTGTCACCTCTGATCAAAATCACTGAAATAGACTGCGCCTTAGTTCCTCCAACTTTTAAAATAAGAAGACACTGTATTCTAGGGCATGGGTTTGTTCTGAGTATACAACAAAAATTGGCAATAAAACAAAATTACTCTGAAAAAAAAATTACTATGTTCTATAAACCAATTATTACTTTTATTTACAAACCTATTTAATAGCTCTCCAACGATCGCAAGTCCAACATTCTATACAGCTAACTTGAAACATGATCTTCAATTTTAATCTTTTTCCTACAGCATGTCAATCTCAGAAAAATTCTCCTGCTGTGACCTTCAGGTCTATGTTTCTTACACTTGAGCAAAATGTAGTGCATTGCTATTCTTGAGCTATAATGAAAATTAAGGCTATTTCTGTTTCCTTCACATGCTCCATAATTACACAATTAGAATTAGGAATTCTATTATTGAATGTTAGTTGTAGTAATGTTCAGCATGCCATGCAAATTTTGCTGAAGTACACTTAATTTGACTGCTGAAATGTGTGATATCTCAAGATAAGATTGGCATTATGAAAATCATAGGGGACAATTTTTATCAAAACTTGAAACTAAAAATCCTTTTGTTCGAGGTTGCAGTGAGCTATGATGCACTCCAGCCTGGGCGACAGAGGGAGGCCTTCTCTTAAAAAATTAAATAAAATAAAAATCCTCTACAGGCCTATCGAGCAGAGAATAGGTACTCACGTTTCCTTTAACCACATAATTAGAATCATTCTTGATGTCTCTGGCTAGACCAAAATCACAAATCTTTGTGATTCGACCATGGGTAAGGAGGATATTTCTGGCTGCCAAGTCTCTGTGAATACACTATTGGGTTGGGGGAGAAAAGAAAATCATTTAAATTCATTTTTAACTTTTCAAGAGTGAAAACTACTTTTTAATACTAGAGTGCTGCTTATATTATCAAAATCCAATACGTTTGTTTCACATTAAAGTATTTGCTATGCCAAAAAATAAAAATCAAAATTATGCCTTGAATGATGTTCACATTTTATGTTTCACATAATCAGACCATAATTACCATAATCGCTTTCAAAACCAATTCCTAATAAATGCTTTTTTCTTGTCAGGACTGCTTTCATTCATGGGAAAACACATTGGAAATAGTCATATCATATTTTTAAAACTGAAAATTCATTTTGCATGCATCTCTTTGAATGTCCTTTCATAGAGTTCCTAAAATATCTTTGGAACTTCAATTTGACATCTCCCAAGGATGCAAGGAAGAGGGTCTTTATTTCAGCCACCCTAAATCCTCTTTTAGTTTGGTAATTGTTTGGAAATGTCACCAATGACATTTAAGGGTAGGATCTAAAACCTCATTCTATTCGGTTAGTCCTGTTTCGTAGGGAATTCCTCTCTCCCTTCCACAGACCATGTTCCTTCTCGCTTTGGTTCCATCATTCTCTTCCCATCCCCAGGCCCTTCCTTCCTGATACTTCATAAGCCATACATACGATATTTGGGGTCTAACTTCAATAAAACTCAAGTATATGCTCCATCAAGCATGGCAACTATGAGGTACCCCCGCATTTGCTGAAAAAATGATTCTTTGCTATCTTCTAGGAGCACAGTGTATATATCCTAAAAGCCAAAAGTTTTAAATGAATTCACTACATATAAGAAAAAATTCATGGAGAGCTCATTTAGATGGGCTTGTACTTTAAAGCTTATAAATTAGAATAGGAATTCCAAAGAGACAGCAGCTGAAACACGAAGAGACTAAATTTCCTGTGCTCTCGGTTACCACACTTCAAAATGACACTCTGCGTTCTACCGACGGCTCGCAAGCGCTCCGTTCCACGAGTGACGCCCACTTACGTTCTTGGAGGCGAGGAAAGCCATGCCCTTCGCCACCTGGTAAGAAAAGCTCAGCAAGTCTTCCAGGTCTAGGGCCAGCTCGTCATCCTCCATGACGCTAGGAGTCACCTCTCTCTCGATGTATGAGCCTGTTCGGAAGAGAGGATGTTCTTAGCAATGAGAACCTTAAAGGTTAGGAAAAGAAAGGAAAGAAAAAGCGGTGGAATGGAAGCACCCAAGGCTGGTGATCAATGAAATCATGTGAACTCGCAGGCAAATCACCTCCCCGGTGCTGAGGGAAGGTAGATGCTGAATCGCATGGTTGACATCCAACAATCCTGGGCTGGGTCACAGTATCCTTACGGGAGAGGAATGGTGGGTTAATACAAAAATTCCACGTCTAGAGTAAGATGCTCAGATTAAAAAAAAAACACATCCTGTGACCCCAAACACCCACATGCAACCCTAACTGCTGGGGACCACTGGCATTGCCACAGGACCCTGCTGTAAAGGAGGCATGGTCACCATCAGGAACGACGTCGCATCCGACAGTGGTATGATACAGCCTCCGTAGGTGAAGCTGTTTCTATCGCTCGACAGGTACCCACCTATTCTCGCAGATCTCCTTTTGTCGACCTTGGTCGGGACGACATAAGAAACTCCAGGTTTCATGTCCATGTACTCGTTAGTACTGTCATTGCTAGGAGAGAGGAAACACCCCAGTCATGACGGAGTCAAATGGGGAGTGCAGAGGAGCACTAAGAGGTCAGGCTCTTTCTCCTTTCCCCCGTGGTACCTAATGGACTGATTTTATTCCAGGAAAGTAATGTGAAGTTTGAATACAGAGTTTGAATGTATTGTTCTATAAGATAAGAGTTTTTAGTATCCAATATTAGGGTCCAATCCCCAGGAATTAGATGTCTGTCTTGTGTTCAATCACAGAGTAGATTCGGGTTAGGAATGTCCTATCTCTTTACACAGTGGATTTAATGGTAAACGCAGAGCCAAAAACATTACTTCAAACTCTCCTCTAAATTAGCCCCAGGAGACAAGATGAAAAAAAGACAAAGAACAAGTGCTTCCAAGATGTGTTGGGGGGGAGACAGAGATCGTTAACATATAGCGACTGATGGAGGAAGGTTTAAAAAAAAACCAAGTTTAGTTCAGATAAACACCAATAATTTGGATGATTTTCTGAACCATCTGGACCTCTTGAATCTGCAACATTTGGCTGGAGACTCTTCAAGATTTCTAGTACTTCCTGCTCCTGATTAGCATAGAAACACCATGACAACAATCTCCTTCAGAGTGTGCTGGTGGTTCCAGTCCCATATGGGATCCCAAAGCACAAAGAACATCACATAGGATTGAACAGCTTAGACCATTATTTCAGAAAGTTAAAAAATACGTATAGGGCCAAGGTTTCAAAAAGAAGGCAAAGTAGCTCATTTCTTCATGCAAAGAGCATATGCTCCGGGGAAACTAACAAAAAGGTAGTTTGCACGGTATTTTTCTACCCCTTTTAACTACTTAGGTTTACAGGATTTAAAAAAAAAAACAAAACATAAAAAGCTTCACCTGGGGTTTTCAACTTTAGCCAGAAGTACAGAAAATGGCTTTAAGAGGAAAGTGCCCATCAATAATATTTACTAAGGTCTGCTTGGGGGCCCTGAAGTTCAGGAGACGAAAGTCTTGCCACCTCAAAACATAGGGGATACGGAGTGAATAAAACAGGAGAGGCGAAATCTACCACAACCTCAGTGATATAAAGTACAGGGGACCTGTAACTGCAAGGTAACTGTGACGTGTGCTGGACCAGGTGCATCTAAGAAATATTCTTCAGTGGTGGACCGGGACAGCATCCGAAAGAAAGAACAGGCACGGCAGAGAAGAATTCTATCCTGGCTATAAATCAAATTCCCCTTAAATGAACTTGAAGCTCTCTAAACATCATTCAAATTCAGAATGGTATCAATGCTAAAAGAGATGAGAATAAGGTCCAGAGTTTTAAAAAAATATGCTTGAGTAGTTATGTCCTTTTACAGCACGATGCATTATATGGGGTTGGAGGGGGGAGGACGGCACGTAGAAATAGTTCAGAGGTACGTGGCAAAAAGCCTGGTGTAGACACACGTTCAGAGCTCTCTGCCACTCCGCTAAAGGTTCGAAAGGACTCTACTGTGACAAGTTGACAGGCTTTCGCATTTTCCCTATAAACAGCATCTCACTATAAGGATGCACGTACTACCGAGCTCACCAGTATAAATGGAAATGCACACAAGAGCGGAGCCGTGAGAGAAACAGATAGAAAATTCATTCAGTTGCACAGAACTAAAGCTGAGAAAAAAAAAAACCCAAAAACCTAGAGATGCATTTTAAAAAAACATCAGCAAAGATCTAAGTTTAACACAGTCTGAATCTTTAAAAACACTATTTGAACTTTCTAAACTGTTATTCACATTTAAATGATTTAATAATGGATGTCACACCTCAGAGTACCTCGTGGTTCATTTTTCAAAGAATCGGCCTTGATTGCAAACCCTTCTGACCCCACACACCGCCTGTCAACAGCCGACTATTTATGTCAATCAGTCTTACCAGGAAGACTCCTTTGAATGTAGAAGGTTCTTATAAAGTGCTGCTTCTGACTGATCTTCCTGCTTTGAGCAAATAAATGAATCACGTTTGCGTCTCAAAAAATTCAAAAGATCACCATAGCAACAATATTCTGTAATGACCAAGGTGGGCCCTGTGAGCATATAAGAAAAGGTTAGAAAGAGGGGAGATATACAGATCATCCTGCCTCCCACAAAAACACCCAAGGGTGGTCATGGCCATGAGCGTTCAGCTTCAATGGATGAGTTTACCTAGTTCCAATGTCTTCCTGTCTGTTAACACCGCTTATCAAAAAAGCAGCATGATGTGGAGAAAACTAAAACAAGCACACCTCTTGCTACCTGAATTTCTAAGTGACGTTACTGCGTGGGGCCAGGTGTGACTGCTGGTTTCACAGACGGAAGTCACTGCTTTCAAAGGTTCTGCTCTTATCAAGCTTCCTACGTGAATGCTTTGATTCGCTTCTGTTTACAGCGGGGCTGCGCGCTCCTTGTAACGTTATTATGGAAATGATGAAGAGTACAACTGCAGCGTAGTAGGAAACCAGCCACACGGAGCAGCCGGCTGAGACAAGCCCGGAAAGTGGGCGGAAACCTGAGATGACCTGTGTTCCTTTCGAGCACTACTAGCTGAAAAATTCTCCACTGTTACGGATGCTTGAAGCTGCAGTTCCGAAGTTAACGGGCAACTACTTAACTTGGGTAGAAATTTCCTCACGAACAATTCATGATGTGGTGAAGCAACATTTATGGGGGTTGTTTTGAGACATTATCTAAAGCTGTTAACTTTAGCTCGGATCTCTCCAGATCACCGGGAACAGCTCCTTTTACGCATCTTTGTTCCTTCAGACCAAAATGCTTTCTGCAAACACCACGGACATCCTCCATGGGACTCTTGACTGAGGCTTCACATTGGAAATTTATTTTTACAGAAGTGAAATGTTTGCCTCATTTGGGGTATATTTGAGAACTAATAGGCTTAGAGGCCTATTTTAAATTACGGTATGGAAATGAATATTAACCCTTTTAGTGACTACATCTGATTTAGCAATATATAAAGCTTGCAAGGTAGGAAAAGCCTCCCAGTTGAGATGAGACATTCAAGAGGTCAAGGTTGTCCATGTTACACACATGACAATAACCAGAACAGTAACTTAGGTTGTCCTACCCCATGATGATAAAACTAAAATCTATTTTTTTTTTTTTTGAGATAGGGTCTTCTGTCACCTAGGCTAACATGCAGTGGCACTATCAAAGCTCACTGCAACTTCAAACTTCTGGGCTCAAGCGATCCTCCTGCCTCAGCCTCCTGAGTAGGTGGGACTACAAGCATGTGGGCTCATTTTTCTGTTTTTTGTAGAGATAGGGTCTTGCTCTTGCTCAGGCTGGTCCCAAACTCCTAGCCTCAAGCAATCCTCACACCTTAGCCTCCCAAAGTGCTAGGATTATAGGCACGAGCCAACACACCCAGCCTAAACTCCACATTCTTAAGAACAACAAGGAAAATAAAATCTAGCAAGAGAGAATAGTCTGGGTAAAACTCTTGCAAGCAGTTTATCGTCAAGCGTTATCAAAATCATATTAAAATGTCACCCTTTGATAACCTGACGGATAATAAAAGGCATAACCTGACGGATAACCTGATGGATAATAAAAGTATGGACATGGCCTTACCTCCAATGGTGCACGCTCCAAGAAGATTCACAATGTTCATGTGATTACCCAGGTAACTCAGGACTTTGAGTTCAGACATTAGGGCTTCTCGTTCCGTTAAATGGGCACTTGCTAAAATTAGAAACATCTTATTCAAGCAAAAATCAAATTTGGCAAACTGATGTTTTGCATGCAGGAGCCTGCAGGAACTTACGTTTGAGCATCTTCACAGCAACAGTCATGGCCGAGTCCGACTTAATTAAGCCGTATGCGGTTGCCTCGACGACCTTCCCGAAGGCACCAGCACCCAAGGTTTTCCCTTTAGAAAGGAAGACAACAAGGTAAGCGGCGGTAGCGGTGGTGGGACCGAAGGACCATCTGTGTAATTTCAAAATCAAAAAAGGAATCAAAGACAATTAGTCTAGAAGCATTTTCCTGTTTTCTATGCCAAACCTATCGAAGGTCGTGGGGAAATTTCACAGAAAACACTTACTGTTTCAGGTGGAGCAGAACAAAGGAAACCATTGGGGTTCCGTAAAGTCATTGTTATGTATACACAAAGAGGTTATGTGGAAAGCCCCTGTTTCATACTGACCAAAACTCAGCCTGTTTCTGGGAAACTCCCACTTGTGATCATAAGGAAGTTGTGTCGGGTCTATGTAAACATAATTGTTTCCATTTATCTCCTCAACAACCTTCCACTGTACTTCATACATAGGTTTCTGGATGGGAGAGAGAGACAGACAGATTATCTTTTAATGATTAACATCTTGGTCATGATAGCACTCAGGGGAGAGAACGGACAAGTGGTTACCTGTAAATATTTGTAGGTAAGAATCATCACGACGATGCACATCATACCGGCAACGATTACGAAACCAATCAGCAAAGGAGTGAATAGGGTGTGGGGGTGGATTTGTTCTAAAATAAAAGAGAAATGTGGAATCACAAACTATTAGAAGGACGGGATCTTTGCCGTAACTACTCATCCCGAAACTGAGCCCGCCTCCCAGCTTACAGCCCATGGCAGGATGCAAAGCTATGACTCTCAGATCCTCACCTTGGTTACACTGTACTTGTTATTCAAATGACTCTTTAGAAACACAACTTTAAACCAGAATACTGTGGAACAGAAGTTGAGACTTCTGTAGCAGAAGAATAATTTTATGCTGTTTTTCAATGAAAAGCAACATCTGAATGAATTTTGTACTTCAATCAAATTCCTGCCTTGTACAACTTTAAAAACGAGCTTCCTTTATGGATGGTTTATATTTTCTTCTTTATGCTGTCCTGTATATTCCAAATTCTACACCGTGCATGATTGTCTTTTACAATCAAGAAAAACATTTTTAAAGTATTCTTTTCATTACCCTGTCTGAAAAATCAATGATGTAGAACAATGGAAGATTCTTCCACTCACTACTCAAAAACTGAGAAAATATAGCACTATTTGGCACTAGTCTTTGCCAACTCAAAAAAACAAAAACTGAGCCCTAAAAACGTAGGTGCCCAGTTTCTTTCTCTTCTAACTTTGTACCAATTCATCAATCCATCCACAAGGATGATTTAACTAATGTTAGGAGAGCTAGTCACTCATGAATCAAATTTTAAAGATTTTAAAGAAATCACTTGCTAATGTGATTTCATAAAAGACAGTGTTAACTTTCTGATACAGTGTCTGGCAAAGTGTTAAAATAACTCATTTTAAGTATCTGAAATTTTAAACTGCATTTAAATTTTAAATTGTTCTGTTCGGGTATAAGGTAAATATATTCCTCTATGTGCTTTCTCTACCCATTTTCAATGGATGCAATTATAAACATACAATTAATTATGTATGTAGAAGACACACATGTGCACACATGCACACACGTAAAATATATAAAAAGTAGCATGGGTTAAATGACTCTGGTAAAAACATAAATTTTATTAACAAACTAGTACGAAATGAAACTTGATAACAGTATGATGAGAGCATGTGGGAAGCATGCATTACCAGAAATGACATGGCTAGTGTTGGAATGGACTTAAAATCATGACTGATATGGTAGACAGAGCCTAAACATCCCCTTAAATTGGATTAAAAAGAAATATACCTTTGCTGTTACCTTTAAATGCAAAGTTAAAATAGGCAGAAGTCTTGCCCACATCGTTGTAGGCCTTACATTCAACCGTGCCATTGTGCTTGAAGGCACCCGAATCTATGGAACTCTGAACCACCAGTTTTCCAAAGGCTGGCCCAGATGAGTTTTGTATCTGAACGTCCACGGGCACTACGGGAGCAGAGCACCTAGGGAAGAAAACAACCACCCAGGCTTACTCCAGGAAAAGAAATAAACACGTGCAATACACAAAGCTAGAGGTTCATAATCAATAAAAAATTTCCTTTTACAACGGTCAGCGTTTGACGAGGAATGGGCACTTTTGTGGCCTCGTAGACAAGAAAAGCACCGTGGACAAGAAGAGTAAAGGAGGCTTGGGAGTCGCATGTGGGTTTGAATCCCGACAAGTTGCTTAGACTCCGCACGATGCAGTTCCTACAGATGTAAACACCCAGATGGGATGACGGTAACACCCCTCGTGAGCGGTTACTGAAAGGACTAGAAATGAATCTCATAAAACGGCTGGCATAGACGCTAGCACACAGTAGATCCTTGCACATAAAAACAATTGGCAAGGTGTATGAAGGGCTGAAGTAAAATAGCATGAACTACCTACAAGGTTGAGGACAGCAAGACACTCAAAGCAAGGACCGGAGTTGGAGGTTCTAAGGGAGGGCCCGTCGTACTGCAGGTGGCAAAGCCCACTGCCACCGTGAGCAGCCCTTCTCAGGGGCCACACCCTGACCACTCTATGCTAAACCTAGCCACTTCCTATTCCCTTCTTGACACCCACATGTTAGTTGTTTATTCTGCCTCTTGTCCGTCTCTACATATTGGAATAGAAACTCCTCAAGGCAGAGGCTCAAGTGTGTTCTGCTCATCAGAACCGCGCCCAGCACCCCGCCGGCACTCTACAAACATGTGCCGGATGACTGTCAGTCACTACCGCGGTTGCTTCTATTGTGGGCATCCTTTCCTGGGGTCTTGAACCCTCCTTATTATTTCCCGAAAGAAAATATTCTACTAAAACTCAGCTGAAAACAACAATCCTATGTAACCTCTTCGACTTACGGTGACAAAGAGGTCTATTCTATGAAAAATAACATTTCCACTGTCATCGGGATGATCCAATCGTGATGTTAAACCGGGCTTTTAAAGCCTGAGCATAAAATAGCAATTGATGGATAAAAAACAGCACTGTTGACCCCGTTTTCAACTTCAGGTAATGCGGAAGGACAATTTAAGGCTTAAGTGTGGCTTGCGCGGGAGAAGCAGCACAATGCCAGATGTTCTCTGCTCAGGGGCTGGGCACCTAATCAAGGAGAAACCCTTTTGAAAACAGGTCGCTCACAAACGCCATATGTACGTTGTAATTGCGTGATCATTACTTTTTGGTAACTTGGCAATTAACTTCCGAGGTAATTTTTTCATGATAACTACAGCCACGTCTCCCCCACACACGTTACCTCCCGTGTGTAGAATGGAAATCTAATTACTCTGTCCTGCAAAATTGCTTTATCTACCTGCAGGCTAGAAATTGCACGATAAATCCAGAAAGATAACCACCAAAACAGAGAAGTCATTCCGTAATCATTTTTCAGCAAACAAAATTAATGTCGACCACGGAAAAATACAGCAATTATCCCCTCCAAAAAAGCCACATGGCTAGAAAAAAAAAATAGTAATCAAAACAAAGCTTTTTTGAAAAAATAAAAAAAATCTGGAAAACATTTGAAATTCAACTGAATTGCGGTCCTTCCCCTCTGCATTTTAAGCAGTGCCAAAAATAGTCATCTCACCTCTGCTCAGTTCCTGGACAAAAATACCAATCTATTGTGGGCTCGGGAAAGCCTGCTGCCACGCACTGTAGCATGCCATTCACGAGCCTGTCGTAAGTCAGGATTTCTGGTTTTGCTGCAAGAAAAGAGAAATGGCCATATGTCAGACTGCTGGAAAACCTCGGCAAAATTCCCTCCTCTCCCTTTCTAATCCTTAGAACCTTCCTGAGCTCAGGGTCCTCCCTAGAAAGGCTTTCACAGCCCCAGCAGGGACCATCCACACCCTGCAGAGGTACAGGTCTCCTAGAACTTTCTGTTCCAGGGATGGTGGCTGAAGTAGAGGTTGCAGGGCCACCTGGCAGGGTTTCTGCTTCCAGTGACTGCTTGTCATCACGGCTCTAGGAGTCCCAGAAAGTCCTGCTTAAACGATTCCCGCCAATGAGATTTCGAGCTATTGTACCTGCCATCGCGCTTCAAGTTATTGTGCGAACTGGAATGGATGAAATTCGGAGCTGTTAGAGGAAAAGAAAAGCCCCACTCTTTCTCTCGCTCGCAAATTTTCTCCTTTTAGGGGGTGGAGGGGTGGTACTGATAAAGATCTGAATCACTCTATTTAGAAGGAAGTGAAAACATGAGAGTAAAATACAATATGGGCTTTGAACTCCAAATCTTTGTTTCAAATGCAAAACGTGAACAGAAAATTAGAAGAGAAAAACCAGCCCGAGAATTTTTATCCATCCATATAGCTGAACCTCAACATAACCATCAAGAAAAGTAAACTGTATCAGCAGGAATGCTCTAATTTGCCATTTCTGTGTAACTACAATAGTCAACTGATCTTCAAGAATTTCAAATGTTTGAAATTATTTCTAAAGTGGAAGCAGATGAACTTATGTTCAGTTGTTCTAATGGCAATAGAGCCGAAGGACTCTGACCCTTGGACAATGAGTCAGTTAAACTGCAAGCCCCCCGATGGCAGGATAGAGATGTGCTCACCCTGTGCTTGGGGTCCAGCATTAGCCGTGCCGAGTCTAGGCACAGACCTACAGGGGCTGTGTGCACAGCAGACGGATCTGAAAACCAGCTCTCACACTTAGCAGTTCTCTGACCCTGAGAAAGCTTCCGAATCTCTCTCTAAAAATTTGTTTGCTCAACAGAAATGGGAGGAAATGGGAGGAAAATGGGAATAATACCCATCTCATAGGGATGTTGAGACAATTAAATGAGATGGAGCATACAAAGACCTGAGAATGAGCCATAGAAATGAAACAATGCATTTATTATTATTTATTATTATTGATGCCATTATTCTTTTCTAATCAGAGCACTCATCCTCCTTGGTTAATCAAGTTTGCTACAGATTAAGTTGACTGTATTTGCCACTCTAAATATTCTCTTCAATGATCTAAAATATGTTTCTTCTTTTTTTTTTTTTTTTTTGAGACAGAGTCTCACTCTGTTGCCCCGGCTAGAGTGCCATGGCGTCAGCCTAGCTCACGGCAACCTCAAACTCTAAAAATGGTTTCTTTAAGATAGTCTGATAATGTGTATGTTTAAACCTGATGCACTGGGAATTAAACACTAATTATGTCGCAACTGATAGGGAAAATAGTTGTGGTGAGAAGGAAAGACTGATAGATCAGAAGCTTGGGAAGTTTATTTCCCCAAAGGAAGGGGACACTGATAAACGACATCTTTGTAGAACTACCTCTCAGCACCTCACCTCCTTGGAGGCAAACGAGTTGGCAGGGATCAGAGTGTCCACATGCATGACACACCCACCTGTCACTCAACCTGGCCCTGCTGACAGGCAGGCCATTTGGCTACTACACACAAAAGAGCAAGTCTCCAAAACAATCTCAAGGTAGGGGCATCCTTGAGACTTTGGCTCCAATGCCAGCTTTCACAAATAGAGCAAGGAGACAAGCCATCATCTTGCAAAAGCATCCATCTGGCAAGTTTCGTTTAATTATCACGGGCACCTGTGTGATCAGGCTGAAAAGTAGGGCATAACACACACAAAAAACCAGTGGACCCTTAGGAGAACGCTATCTGCTGGAGATCAAAGGCGCCATACGGTGGGTCTCTCCAGACTCAGTTTAAGTGTCACCTTCTTTTTTCAAAGGAACTCCCAACTCTCTGAAGCCAAGTTCATCGGTCTCTCTCCTTATTTCCGAAGCACTTTAGAGCACCCGACACTGTCATGCAAGATCTCGGTCTGCCTCCTCCATCTGACTAGATGTCCTCAAGGGCAAGAAACACATCTTACTGACTGATGGAGCCTCTGACTCCTAGCTCAGAGTCTGACCCACGGCAGACGCACAGTAAGCGCTGCTCAATGGGTAAGACCCTACCCAGAGGAACCAGTCTCTCAGATCCTGAAGGCATTCAGTGAGAGTCACAAGAAGGGACCTGGGAGAAGAGCCTAATGGTGACACTCCTAGGCAGGGGCGCTATTTCTACTATTCTTGCAATAGAAGGCCATGAGATGAGAAATCCACAAGTATGCCTGGCCATGTGAATTTCTTAATACCAAGATTAATGATTAAAGGGTCTACACATAACGGCAGAGATAACTGGATAGACCTCAAATGGGAATCAAGTTCATAACACAGACTTACTCATAGCTACATTTCCTTTTATACGCACACTTCCTAATGCCCGTAATGCTACATGATGGATTTTTAGTAGAATTAACTTTAACTCAATAGGGAAAAAAAAAGGACGAAAGGATACCTTAAGATGTTAACAATGGTTATCTCTGGGTGGTGGAGTTATGGATAGTTTCTATGTTATTCTTTTGGCTTTATTTTCTAATTTTATTTTACAATGAACATGTAGCTAAATAGGACTCTATAAAGCATTTTTTTAATTAAAAAATTGGAACAGCTCAAAATTATATAATCAATTACATTTAGCTCTGGTTACAAGTGCTCTAATAGCCAAGCCTTCTAGCGTGACACTTGGTAGCAGTTATACAACAGCCATGGCTGGCACTGGTGTGGACCGGCTGGCCTATTTGTTCCCGTGTACCGGCTAATTAAGCAGTTTTTTTTTTTAAGCTACTATCCCAGGTGGGTCATAACCTGAGGCTAATTGAGCAGCTTTTATCCTGTTGGGTCTTAGGTTGGCCAACCAAGCTCACAGGGTCCTAAACCTTCAATGTGCATGAGATTCACTAAGGGAAGAGGTTAAATGCAGACTCCTGGGCCCCACCTGCAGAGAGTCAGTAAGCTGAGGATCTGATCCAGCAAAGCGCTTTTTAAAAAGTACAGTTAAGGGACCCAATCAGGGGCAGGACTAGAGGGAGGCAAGAGAAGCACTCAGGGCACAAAATCTAAGAAGGCACCAACCCTAAAGGTCTTCCAAATTGGCCCCTGTGGGAGAGTACCTCCTTAAATTTTGCATCCTGGGTGCCTCTTTCTGGCCTCTCCCTAGCCCTAGCCTTGTCCTAATGTTGGTGATGAGAGATCTCATTCCGAAAAGGCTAAGTCACACTGGTACAGTGCAGGCTGTACATGGCAAGTTGCATTATGAAAATGTTTAATGCATAAAGAGTGAGCTAGGTAGAAATCTAATTCCTAAAAATGAAAATCTGGGCTCATCTGCATTTTTTAAGTGCTTCAGTGCACCGTGTTCGGCATTAAATATACATTTTGCTTTTAAAGATACATAACTCTCCGCAGTTCTTTAGGTTAAATCTGAGCTGTGGTTTCTTAGATATTCTACAATAAGCAGTATACCAAATGACACATTCCTTAATTCCTCCCAAGTTGGAGGTTTAGATAAGCCTAAGAGGTGTATAAGTTATGCATTTCCTGCAGAGATTTGAAAAATAGCCTTTTTTCTTTCAAAAACATCGTGGGCCTGAATTATTCCGGTATCTCTAACAACACTGATCAGCTTGTAGGCAGATTCCAGAATGCTTGTAACTCTACTGAGAATTTATTACTCATGCAATTACAACTCCTAAACATCCAGTGATTTACCCCAACAGATTTGTGATCTTGAAAAACAAGCCTTTTCATCACCATCAGGTCCATGAGGAAGGCAAGAACAGAATAAATTTTAAGAACACAGCACAAATACCAAAGCTGAGGGCTGGCAGCGGTGGGGAGGCGGTACACAGTAAGTGGTGGGGTAGATCTTTCTTCATGTGAGCATGGGGAAGGGTCTTTGAGTAGAGCTCTGCTCTCGCCCAACCACCTTACCCAACTCCTGCTATAAACGTACATTCTACAATCAGCAGGACAAAGAACACAGACTTAAATCTCCCCATAATAAAAGACTAAACGGAGAGGGAGCATGAAGGTGAATTCCTATTTTTACAACTCTAGGTTCGCCGGTGTTTAATGGTGATGCAGCAACACTTTTCTGCAAATTTGTCACTATCCCGGTTTTGGACTGGGTGAAACCTACATTCATGCCATAATACCATTATAATAGAGGAATTTAAGTCAGCTAAAATAGGAGTATAAAAATAACTCAAGTTAACTTTACTTATAATAAAAGGAATATTATATATTTTTTAAAATC